CGAAATAACCGTAACCGAATCGGTACCGAACCGAAATATTTCGGGTAACCGAAATACCCGAAATACAATTATATTTTCGAAATAATTAGTTATTTATTGACCAAATAATCAAAAATACTTGAAAAATCTATAAAAATAGTAAAAATACTCAAAAATAACCGAAAAATATCCAAAAAATATTCGAAAATACTCAAAAATAACCGAAATATCCTAAGCAAAATAACCGAATGGATACTAAATTTTAAAACCGAAAGAACCGGAACCAAACCGAAACCGAACTGAAATTTCAAAATATCCGAATGGATACTAAATTTTAAAACCGAAAGAACCGAAAACCGAATGGACCCAACGGATAACCGAAAGCCCAGGCCTAGTTAAATTGATAATATTGGGTCGTTGGTGAGTTCGGGTGGGGTCGGGTCAGATCTATAACCGAGGTAACCCGGTAAAATTAATATTTGAATGAGTTCGGGTCAGGTTTATAACCGGGTTAAACCGATAAATATTCATATTTGGGTGAGTTCGGGTCGGGTATGTATATCCGAGATAAACCGATAAAATTAATATTAGTGTGAAATCAGTTAGGTCGGATCATGTCTACAACCGGATTAAACCCATAAGATTGATATTAGTGAAATCAGTCAGGTCGGATCATGTCTATAACCGAGTTAAATCGATGATATTCAGTGTTAGGGTGGGGTCGGGTCAGATCGATAACCGAGAAAAAACGGTAAAATTGATATTTGGGTGTGTTCGGGTCAGGTCTATAACCGGGTTAAACCGATAAAATTGATATTTGTGTTAGAGTGAGTCAGGTCGGGTCAGGTCTATAACTGGGATTAAACCGATAAAATATTAGTGTCAGATCAGTCGGGTCGGGGCAATATCCAGGTTAAACCGGGTCAGACCCGATTTACTATGTTTCTTGAGCAAAAGGAAATCGCAGAAGTCTTTTTTAGTGAGCTACACAAAATCAAAAACATCAGATCTTGAAGAAGAAGAAGAAGAACCTAAAGAATTTTTCGAGAAGATGACGACTGTAAGTCAGATCATTCTTACTATGTATGCTTTTGATTCTTCTGGGTTTGATTTCGTTTCCCGATTTTGATTTTGTACCTTTTTTGGTTCTTCGTCTGAGCAGTTCACTGTTCCGATTGATAACGGAGATTCTGTGAAGATCGCAGAAGAAGAATCTCAAAGAACTCTGTATAGATCTCTCTCTCACTTATGCTTATTTGGGATTCGATTTTGAATTTTTAGGGTTTATGTGAAATTTGGTTAGGTACCCATATGTTACTGGAACTTCAATTGTTGCAATCAAGTACAAAGATGGGGTTTTGATGGCTTCTGATATGGGAGGTATGTTTTCTTTTTCCTAGCTTCAGCTCTTTTTCATTTTTGCATTTCACTGTATCAGCAGCACTTAGAGTTCCTTGCTTGCTTATTTGGTAAATTGATTGAATTTATTCATGAGTTTCACAAGTTCTTGTAATGTATACATAAAAACCCGACGAATCGGAGCCATGATGTTTAGCTTCATTGCTTGCAGCGTTTGGTTTGCCTCCTGTGTTTTTTATTTTGTTTATTTTCGGTGATTAAGCACGAATCATGAATGATGTTTAGAAGTTTTTATTGACATTAATTTTGTTTACGTAGTAGATAGTTCCACATATGGTCTTCTGTATACATTCATGAACAGTTAACAAATAGGTAATTTATGTTTCATTAGTGTCTATTGAGCCGCATTCCTGGTGTGGTTAGTATCTTTTGGACAGTTCTTCAAATGTTACTGTATTTTTAAATCTGTTTGCGAGATTCAGAAAAAATGATGAAACTGAGATGCAACTTTTGGTCAACTTGGATATTTGCAACTTGGAATTATGTTCGAACACCATATGAAGAAAAGATTTTGTTCTGGCTATTAGCCGCTTGATTGATAAGAATATGTATTTGTGGAGATAAACATGTATCTGCTTTCTTGCTGTCTATTCTGCTTTCTTGTGACATTAGTTTCACATTCCTTGTGTGTTTGTTCCTACCATTATATTATTTATATAATGTTAGAGTTCTTTGGTTGATCTTTCTTCTTCTCTCTGTTATTTTAAAATTTAGGGTGGACTAAGATTTGAGGCATCTTTTATTGATTTGAGTGCACAAGTTTGAATGAACCAGAGAATAAAGTTGACTGCTTCCAGTTCCTTGTGTTTTCTGTTTCGATTTCGTCTGTGCCATCTATTGTTAATTAGGTTCATAACTGAGGATAAACATTATAACTAACAACGACTGCTTAGCTATATACATTGAAAATTTTGTATTCTCATATTTAACACCAACTCAACAGTATCTAAAAACTATGATTTGTCCGTATGGTTAATGTTTTGATGCTATATCTATGTATTTTATTGATCTTATAAATCGCTTGGAAATGTTGTGATCCTGGTTTCCTGGGAATTCTGCACCAGAGAAATTATGATATTGTGGCATCATCTCACTTTCAAATTTTTGCGAATATCAGGTTCATATGGATCCACCTTAAGATACAAGAACATTGAAAGAGTGAAGGCTATTGGTAAGCATTCTCTTCTTGGTGCCAGCGGAGAAATCAGTGACTTTCAGGAGATTCTCCGTTATCTTGATGAGCTCACGTAAGAATCAGCTTTAGTTAAATGTTTTTATTTTAATCTTCTTGTCAATTCTCAAGCCTCACAAGCCCTTGGTTTTACACAGCCTGAATGATAACATGTGGGATGATGGTAATTCTTTGGGACCAAAAGAGATTCACAACTATCTGACCCGTGTGATGTACAATCGTCGCAACAAGTTTAACCCTCTGTGGAACACTCTTGTCCTTGGAGGCGTCAAAAACGGGAAGAGTTACCTTGGAATGGTACGTCTCAAACTTTCCATTCGCATATATAATTTTCTTATGAACTTAACTAATGATTTGGATCCATTTGCTTCTCTCTAGGTGTCAATGATTGGTGTTAGTTTTGAGGACGATCATGTCGCCACTGGATTTGGAAACCACCTCGCTAGGCCAATTCTTCGTGATGAGTGGCATGCAGACCTGAGTTTTGAAGACGGGGTCAAGCTCCTTGAGAAATGTATGCGTGTGCTTCTTTACCGCGACAGATCTGCTATTAACAAGCTTCAGGTTTGTCTCTAATAACAAGTTTTGTTTACCGTTATCTTATCTCATGAACAAGAACATAATCTTCATTTAGTTTGGATGATCTTCTTCTTATGGATTGTAATAACGGAAAACATGAAAACTGTGCAGATAGCGAAGATCACGGAAGAAGGTGTGACTGTCTCACAGCCTTACTCATTGAAGACATTCTGGGAATTCTCGTCATTCCACAACCCAACTGCTGGTGCTGAAGGCTCCTGGTAAGAAGCCAAGCAACCACATAATGTCTGGAGATCTTTCAAGGAAGCTTTTTTATTTTATGTGATATTGTTAAAAACTTCGTACTGTAGTTGGTTTACTATTAAACATGGTGGTTTCTTCATGACATTCCAGAGTTTAGATCAATGAGGATTTATAAAAAGTTCTGGATATCTTTGGGTAGTTGAATCTTAGAACTCTTCGTTTGATGTTGTTAGATGGCACAGCACATGTTTTCCCTTCTTTGGAGGTTTCTCTATTCTTCCTATTCCAATTTCAATTATTGTTTTTTTGTTTTCTTCTTATCGACAGCCGTAGGCTTTCATAGCTCTGTCGTTGATTCTGCTATGGTTAGTCTTTGTTGTTTTAGATATTCGGTGGTTTTGTTCCTCATCCGGCCAATTTGATTTGTTGGCTTTCTTCATTGGGTTCGGATATGGAGATGTTTTGGCTACGGTCCTTCCAGCCGTATCTCTGAAATTAAATTCCCCATGTCTTGTTGTCAAGATCAGTTTGTTATGCTTGTTGGATTTTGGCTTGAAGTCGGGTTTGCTATTATTTGTGATTTTACCTCGTTTTCTTACTCTTGTTTTTGCCGGAGATTTTCATGGCTTTTTATCTCGATTCGTCCCACCACCATCCACAATCAGTTAAGTGTTTGTTGTATTCGTTGGGCGGCTTTTAAAGTTTCATCCACTCGAGTCAATTCTCAAATCTGGGCGAGATCTAATTTGTTTTTGATTCTTTTTAATTGTATCTTCGTCGATTTCATTTCGATTTCAACAACCTGACAATTTCGATGGTTTCTATATCCCATTTTACAAATCTTGTGAAGTCATATTTTTAGTTTCTTTTTTTTTTGGGTAAAAAATTGTGGGTTCTTAAGTCTTCAAAAATCAAGTAATGGCAAGTAATCCATAAACCTTTGTTCATTGTTGATCGTTCTCCATCGTTTCTTGGTCTTGTTTCTCGCTTTCCTCATTTTAAGTGATGTTTAAAATTTTTGCACACAATTTGATAATTTAATAAATCATCTATTGAAACCTTCTCTCTCATTATTTTTATTAATCAAGATTATTTCTGTAAATTCTTAACAAGTAAAATATTAACAACTCCATTTCGTGATATGCACTATTCATTTAATAACTGAATCCAAATTCCATTGCAAAGTAAAAGGCCAATCCATCAGGTTATTCTCCTCTAGTCAAATTACTTTTCAATAGTTACAAGATTTATTAAGACTCATACGGTGTATAGTTTTTGAATCAATTGAACTTGTGAAAACTAGTATTTCTAAAAATTTCCCATGTTTTATGTGTTTAAAAAAGAAAAGCAATAATTAGGTGAAATTTGATAGTTATATTAAAATTCCAATAATTATTTAGATTAAAATTCTGATAGCCATGTGTTTATTTAAAAAATGTATAATTTTTCTAAAATTAATTTCTGCTATTATTAAAATGTTATCATCTTTGATAAAAAAATTACAAAATTTTTTTATTTAATTTCTTATATCCATATTCACGTGCATTTATACACATGCCAAAATGGGGTTAAAATCAAAGAATTTACTGTGATAAACGATACGCGTAATGACATTAATACCTACAACTTTTTTTAGGGTAAATTTTTAATTCATTCAAAAGCTTTAAAATTTACCAAAAATCTGTTTTTATAATACGAAATTCAGTTGAGCTCTTCTTACAATACAAAATAATAACAATCGAGAAATGGAACGTGGAAAGAGGGTGATGCAGCCTGAAGCCGATTTTGATTTAAATATGGTACCGCATGAAGCCGCTTTCGATCTAAACATGGAAGTGCCCAAAGCCGATTCCGATCTAACAATTAAATCAATGGATGAAAAAGAAGATCGCATAATAACGATGGAGGAGAAAACTAGGATTTGCGAGATAGAAGCCGGACTTGATCATGTGATGGTAACATCGAAAAAAGAAAAAGAGCGTAAGAAGGTGATATTGGTTATTTTGTATTCTTGGCAAATAAAATAAAACTATCATACTGTATTTTTTGTTTTGTTTTCTAGAATTACAACACAAACATTTAAACCTCTGAAAATACAACCAAAACTAGGTGTAGAAACAAGGTTCATAAAAAGATTAGGAAGAGGTTCTAAATGGTTTAGGAATCCATTCCAACTAGTATGTAAATGTTGGGTTTATGGTCTTGTAGGGTATTTTATTTTATTATAGTTTATGAATATATTACATAGATTACAATTCACTAATTAATTTTATGTGAATTTAATTAGGAGTTGAAGAAGAAGCTGATAGAGTACATTGAAGAATACGATATCCCTATTGAAACCAAAAAAGTGGAGAAAATTGAAGATCCAAACATCTTGTGTGAATCTATAATATTTCTGAAAGAATTGATGAATATGGATCCAAAGGTTTCCTCACCTCAATCGGCGTTCTCAAATGATAAGAAGAATCAGTAATATACTATAATGGTGATCATCATTATCATTATAATGAATCATATTTTATCAATTTACTGTTTGTTTCTTTCTCCAAAATTTTCATGAACAATAACAGATTTAATAATTGAAGAAAGCCATATTGTGATATTATATCCATTGGATTTTGATAATCAATATAAGGCTTTTTTTAATATATAAATAATCAATATCTTGAAACAAGAAAAAAAAAATCAGATTCTTTTAAAAATTAAAGGAAAAAATTGACAAAATGTTTTAGAGAACTAACATTGTTTTTATATTTTTTCACGTGTCGTAACTGGAAAAAGATATTTTTCGACCCCAACAATTTGTAAAGTGTTTTTTTTTTTTTTCCACTTGTGCTAACGTTTCGTGCTAATTTCTACACAAACACCTTAAGAATTCAAACTACATTGTCCAAATCTCGATTTTGTGCGTAATTCAGAGTCGTCGTTAATCTTAGATGACACAAGTGTAACAAATTGGCAATTCGACTTTGTAAAATTACTTCCTATGAACTCATTACGTTTAAATTTTTTTAAAATTTTCATTTGCAAATAACACATTACAATGCAACAATAAACATACTTTCAAATTTCAATCCATAATGTTTAAATAACATATACAAAAAGCCAAAATATATATTGCTTGTATAGTTGTTATGTTACCACTACCTCTTAAGTTTTTCAACTTGTATAATATATTTTTTTAGGGAAAATTCCCAAAAAAAACCTCATATATTTTTTATTTGGACGTTTAATACCCAATTGTTTTCGGTTGAAAAAAAAATACACAAACTAATAAAATTGTTCGATTTAATACCCAAACAATTAAATGTTGTTATTTTCATACTCACGAACTCACAACAAAAAAAATATTCCAATTTTACCATTACCATCTCAATTAATTATTAACTTTTAAATAACGTGGTATTATTTTTTTATTTAAATAAAAATTAATTTTTTTAATGTTTTATTTTATGTTGCCTAAAAATAAATTTTAAATTTATATAATTATTTTATTTTAAAATTAAACATAAAAATTAGCAGAAAATCAAAAATATTTAAAATAGTCATTTGTACAATCTTATTCCGTCTTTGCAATGTCAAAGAGACGTTTCCTCTTCGATTCTAATTTTTTCGATTAATATCTACTAGAATTACCGGTAAACAATCTCCGCCGTCCTTTTTTGCAACCATCAAATTCGATAACCGTTCACAATCTCCTTTTAATCCTATCCAAAATCTTCATCGCCAATAAAACTAATTTGATTTGATTCGTCGTGATGCATATGATATCAACGAGCATCAATATGAACTTTTTATCCGTCGTGAGAAACTCTCTATTCGAATATAAATCATTCATGAATGAAACTATTTTCGACAAAATCTCAATCCGAATCTCATCGTCTCTCTCAAGATTTATCAATTCATAAAAATGGCTAATTTTTTTTTTTACTTTTTCTAAATTTTTTGCTAATTAATTTTATTTTTAATTTTTAAAAATTAAATATTTGTAAAATAAACTGCAAATTATTTTGAATTTTTTTTTGAATTTTTTTTTGGGATAACAAAGAAATGAAATATTAACAAAATTAATTTTTATTTAAATAAAAACTATTGTCACGTAATATAAAAGTTAATAATTAATTGAGATAGTAAGGGTAAAATTGGAATTTTATTTTTGTTGTGAGATCGTGAGTATGAAAATAACAACATTTAATTTTTTGGATATTAAATCGCACAATTTTATTAGTATGTGTATTTTTTTTCCAACCGAAAACAATTGGGTATTAAACGTCCAAATAAAAAATAATTGAAGTTTTTTTTTGGAATTTTCCCTATTTTAGTAACAGTAAAATTATCCTTTTGGGACTTTAGAGAGACTTGAGATGCGAGGAGACTGCATTGTTGTAATGGGTCGATTTATGACAAAATAAGCGAAACATTAGGCCCAGTAGATCGATATATACGTATACCTGTTTAGCGGTCGGTAAACGCTAACGTTAACCAAGTAGGCGTAGATTAGTCTTAACCTACGCCGTTTTGTTTCTTTGGCTTCAGACTTCAGAGGATCGCACAAGAGTGAAGACTTGACGGTGAAGTTCCACAGCTTCTTCATCAACTCCAATCACAACACGTTTCTCAAAGTTCGATCCTTTGAATCTAAATCAGGTTTATAATAGGTTTAATCAACTTCTTAATTCAAGTTCTTAGCTTTTGTCTTTCTTGTTCAATTGTTTTGATCGAATTGAATAAACTAGGTAACAATTTCGAAATCCAGATCCTTGATTTCAGATTCTTGTAACCAATCCTCTACATGCTTGTTGCTTAGTGTATGAACTTGAATTGATAACAAATTTAGCTAAGCCCTTGTCTTATTTTGTTGTTGTGGATAGTCTGATTTCATCATCTGATGCTGAGTAGTGATATATCTTAGGGACTAAAGTATGTAAAGCTTTGATTTTTGAGTCAAGCAAGACCATTTATGGAAATTCTTGGAGGTATTGGATTCAGTAATACTAACAGTACAACAAAGAAGAAGAGAAGCACCACATTGCGTCGGCCTTGGAATGAACGACAGTTACAGGATTCTTCGTCATTACCATCCACACCAATCACTGACAATGTAAGAAACCAAAAACATATCAATCTTTGCAGTGAAAACTTCATTCTTGTTGTACAATTTTATCTCTTTTGCTTCTGTTAGCATAGTTTTCTCGGTAGGTATCGCCTTCATACTTCTTTAGTATTCTATATAGTATAGTCACTTTTACTTTGCGGCTGTGAAAGTTTCTGCCTTTATTCTATATATCAAAATCAATAACACTTTAGATCATTGTGAACTTTGTGGTCCTTTCATACATTGGATGCGTAAATTGTGTTTAACTGATGTCAAAATTGGCTTTGTGTTTGGAGAATAGTTTTCCGGCTAAGTATTGATCGTCTTCATACTTCTTTAGTACTTATGGAGAATGTCACTTTTACTCTACTGCCATAAAAGTTTCTGCCTTTGTGTATATATCCATATCAGTAACACGTTGTATCATTGTCAACTTTCTGATCCCTTCGTTTCGTGGATCTTTATGTGTCTACTACTATTATGTGCGTGATTTGTTTTAACTGATATATGTGTAGAAATTGGCTTTGTGTTTGCAGAATGAGAATAAGATAGAAGAGAGGGAAGCAGTAGAATCGGATGAAGGTCAACGAATGGTTCATTCCAAGGAAGTAACCAAGTGAGGCAAGGTGGAGGCCACAGTACTGCATCTACTGAAGGGTTTCTTGTCCCTTGTAAAAGAAAAGACTCCATTGACACAACAGAGCGTCGAGCTGGTTTTGATGAGCATACCATCAAGAAGGTTAAACTCAAACTCGGTGGTTCGTCAAAAACTATAAATGTAGTATCTGCATCCGATGGTGCTTCTGATATTGGGTTGTGTTCGACAAAGTCGTCCCATGCATCAGATGATGTCTTGGGGATTGGGCGGACTAACCAGGTAGTAAATCCTTTCTTAAATGCGAAATGTTTCTCAATTTCTCAATGGAGTATGTGCTGATGATTGCCTGAGATTTTCAGTCTTTCTGATGAATTTCGACTACGTAGTACTACAGTTCTAACTTCTTGTTGTCTACTGTGACCACTTACTTACAGGAGATTTCAAACGAGAGATCCACTAAAGAAAGAGGGACACCATGGGACACCGCAAGCAAAGCAGATTCATGCAATGACACGCGAGTTAGCAAAACGAATACAAATCCGATTCGTAAGAGCAATCGGATTTCTAAACGACGTGTTCTGGATGAGGAACTGGATAGTCTTGATGATGATGACGAAGAAATTCAGTTTCTCAAAAGGATGAAAATGGCTAAAGTTGTGGCTGTGGAAGATGTTGATGACGATGAAGAAAGGAGCAGAAAACATAAAAAACTTTCCAAGGTGATGAAACAAATTGTAGAATTCCCACGTGGTGTAGGAACATCAGAAAAGTCAGCCAAGAAGGATAAGATGGGAAAAGCATTTGATACTGATTATGTCAAGGACGATGATGATGAGGAAGAAGAAGAGGCTGTTTCAGATATTGAGCTAGAAAATAAGAGCGTGAAAACTAGAAGAAGAGGAGCTGAAGAAGGTCAAAGTGAAATTAAGACAGAAATGACTGTGACTACTCGTCGACGTTCTGGACATAGTGGAAACCTCATCGAGTTTCCTCGTGGCCTACCTCCAGCTCCACCTAGAAGTAAGCTTGATGAATATCTAATCTGCTCTTTTTTGTTATTAGATATAGAGGCTATCACTAAAAGCCAAATCTCGAATATTTAGTCGGGTACTTGCAATGTTGCGCTCGCATTAGATTGAGTAACAGGGCCTAGCTTCTGTGGTTGTGACATTAGTTTAGTGACCTACATAGTTGCTCAATTTATGTTCCAGTCGAGGTTCTTATCAAATTGTTCTCGGACTTAAAGTTGGTTGCTTGTTTTGTTTGTTTACAGAGCGAAAAGAAAATGGATTAGAGGTTGATCAGCAACTAAAGAAAGCTGAGGCTGCCCAGAGACGTAAATTGCAAGTCGAAAAGGCAGCAAGAGAATCAGAGGTTTGGTCCTGTTTTTCTTTTTCAGTGGAATGAAATATATGACGAGCATGCTTACATAATCTTTTTCACATCGGTAGGCTGAGGCAATCAGGAAGATTCTGGGCCAAGACTCTAGCAGAAAGAAAAAGGAAGATAAGATAAAGAAACGCCAAGAAGACAAGGCCAAGGTATAAACTGCAATGGTACTCTCGAAAGATCATTCATATTGTTCCTTCTCAATTGGTTTCATGGCTGTATGCATAAGATCCTTTCTTACAATCTCTTTTATTCAGGAGAAGGCTGCAGACTCGATCGCCCGTAGATCAGACACAGTGAAGTGGGTGATGGGTCCTTCAGGAACCATCGTAACTTTCCCAGAAGAACTTGGATTGCCAAGTATATTCAACTCTACACCACACAGGTATGATTTGATGCAAAGACTCATTGCCCCATTTGGATCAAGCAATGCAGTTAAAGTGAATCAGGTTTAACAAGAATTGACATGGTTCGCCTTGCTAATGAAACAGTTATCCTCCACCGCGAGAAAGATGTGCGGGTCCAGAATGTACAAACCCATACAAATACAGAGATTCAGAGTCAAATCTTCCATTGTGCAGCCTCCGATGCTACAAAGCAATCAAAGGATAAGTGATGGATATATTGTGATCATACTATTGTATAAAATAATATTTATATCGTTCATGTAAATACTAATAATAAAGCACTATATCATACTGTTTGTTGTTAAACAAGAGTTGAATGTCTATAAACATAGATGACTATATCATACTGTAACAGTTTTATTTCTAACTTTCGTTTCTTGAATCCAGTTAACCGGACCTAACCAAGTAAACAGTTAGCTACAGTGAAGTCATTATCCTCAGCTGCCGCCTGCCGACTTCCTGGTCCACGGTTGTTGTAGTCAATGCCAAAAGGTCACTTTGCACCAGTGCCCACTTGTTTGTTTGTAGTAATCTGTCTCACTAAGTGAACACTGCTTTGCCTTTTTCTTCTCCATAAAAGGCTTATCCAAACACATCTCTGTGAATCTGTCATTTTGAACCACTCCAGATCCTTTCTCATGGCTTCTTCTTCTTCTTCACTTCACACCTGGAGATACAATGTCTTCACGAGCTTCCATGGACCAGATGTCCGTAAGGCATTTCTCAGCCATGATCGATAAGATTGCAAGAGATATTTCAGATAAACTGAATGCTACACCGTCTAGGGATTTTGATGGCATGGTTGGACTAGACGCTCATTTGAAGGAAATGGAGTCTTTGTTAGATTTAGGAGGGGTTATTGGTTCATGGATTTATATGGAATTAGAAATCCAAACAAAAATCATTTGTTATTCAATCATTGATTTTAAAATCCTAATTAAATTCATGTGTTATTGGTTCTATGATTTATAAATACTAGTTAAAATCATATGTTATTCGTTTAGTCATTTGTTTTTGGATTTGAGAATCCAAATTATGTTTTAAATGGAATTGAATGGAATTGAAAGAGAAAAATAGAAGGATTCAAATCCATGGGTAAACACATGTTATTTCAAAATCCATATATCTTGATTTCATAATTAATAGAAATTTTCAAATTCTATATGGATTTACAAATTAATAAACCAATAACACCCCCTTAGATTATGATGGAGCTAAGATTGTTGGAATCTCTGGTCCTGCAGGCATTGGTAAGAGTACCATTGCCAGAGCTTTACAAAGTCGACTCTCTAATAGGTTTCATCATACTTGTTTTTTCGACAACCTTAGGGAAAACTATAAGATTGGTTTTGGTGAGTATGGTTTGAAGCTGCGCTTACAAGAGCAACTTCTTTCAAAGATTTTGAACCAAAATGGTATGAGGATAGACCATTTAGGTGTGATACAAGAAAGGCTACACGACCAGAAGGTTCTTATCATTCTTGATGATGTGGAGAGTCTAGATCAACTTGATGCGTTGGCTAATATGAGGTGGTTTGGTGCTGGAAGTAGGGTCATAGTGACCACTGAAAACAAAGAAATTTTGCAGCAGCATGGTGTTAGCGCTACATATCAAGTGGGGTTTCCATCAGAAAGAGAAGCTCTAATGATCTTTTGTCTATCTGCTTTTAGACAAACTTTTCCACCTCATGGATTTATAGCTCTTGCGGATGAAGTTGCAACGATTTGTGGTAATCTTCCATTGGCTCTGCATATTTTGGGGTCATCATTGCGGCCTTGCGGGTAAAGAGCGAGGCTGACTGGATAGATGAAATACCAATGTGGAGAAACAGTCTTGATGGAAAACTTGAGAGTGTATTGAAAGTGGACTATAAGAGTTTACATGAGAAAGACCAAGCTCTATTTCTCCACGTTGCAATCTTCTTCAATCATGAACATGTTGATCATGTGGCATCCATGCTTGCAAAAAGCAACTTGAACGTTAGACATGGGTTGAAAGTCCTAGCTAATAGATGTCTCATACAAATAGACCATGAAAGTAAAGTGGTAATGCACCGTTTGCTACAAGTAATGGCCAGACAAGTCATTTCCAGACAAGCGCCTTGGAAACGCCAGATTCTAGTAGATGCCCAGGAAATATGCGATATTCTATAAAATGCAACAGTAAGTTTTCTATTTGATGGGTTTTGCATTTCCATGATTATTCGTTGTTGTTTAAGCATATCATCTGGCAACTAACAAGTTCTGTTTTGGAATATTTGTCAGGGTAATGGATCAATTCTAGGTGTATGTATCAATTGACTTAGAAGAGAACAGTGAATTAATGATAAGCGCAAGAGCTTTTCAAAGAATGCACAATCTTTTTTTCCTGAAAGTTTACAATGCGGGGCGTACTGGAAAAAGACAATTATACGTACCCGAGGAGATGGAGTTCCCACCTCGCCTAAGGTTACTTTATTGGGATGCATACCCGAGAAAGAGTCTTCCTCGTAGATTTTTCGCAGAAAATCTCGTCAAACTTAACATGAAAGATAGCGAGCTCGAGAAGCTATGGGAAGGAACTCAGGTTAGTTATTTATGTGTATTGATGGGAAACAAGACAAATGATATTAGCAATAGTCTAATATGAAGAAATACTTTCTCACTATATTCTGATTTTTACATTCAGACGCTTGCAAATCTCAAGGAGATGGATTTCACGCTGTCGTCTCATTTGAAGGAACTCCCAGATCTTTCAAATGCTATAAATTTGGAGAGATTGAATCTGAGTGCTTGCAGTGCTTTGGTTGAGCTTCCATCCTCAATTTCGAATCTTCATAAAATAGCTGAGTTACAGATGGTAAACTGCAGCAATCTAGAAGTCATTCCAAGTCTCATCAACTTGACATCTCTTAATAGTATCAACCTGCTTGGATGCTCACGACTAAGACGTTTTCCAGATTTACCTATCAACATCTGGACACTCTATGTAACAGAGAAAGTGGTAGAGGAGTTGCCTGCATCACTTAGGCGTTGCTCTCGTCTTAATCATGTTAATATACAAGGCAATGGACATCCCAAGACCTTCTTAACACTTCTCCCGACGAGTGTAACAAACCTAGAGTTACACGGGAGACGTTTTATGGCAAACGATTGCCTCAAAGGTCTTCATAATCTGGCATTCCTTACTCTATCATGCTGCGATAGACTCACGTCATTGCCAAAGCTAGCTCAATTTCACCAACTGCTTCAAATTGGATAGAGAAGCACGACGAGCGATTATTCAACAATTGTTTGTTTACGGGTTGGCTATCTTACCTGGAAGAGCAGTACCTGCAGAGTTCGATCACCGGGCCAGAGGAAATTCCTTAACAGTTCATCATTCTGCTTTCAACAGATTTAAGGTTTGCGTCGTGGTATCACTTATCCAAGCTAAATCTAATATATTCTCAAAGCTGATGTATCGCTGCATAGGCATCGGCAACTCAGTAAAGTCCACTAACATGAAGTTTTGTTTGACTCTAGCTTGCCAATATCGATGATCCTTCTGAAGTGAGCAAAATGATAGTGATTCAATTCAGCGCCAGAGATAAAAATTTCGACATAATTGAATGTGCATGGTAAGCAGATCTTGACTGACGGGAGCGACAATGGGGATAAAGATGACCACAAAGATACACATGAATTCGGCAAATCATTTGGCAATGAAGAAGATGACAAATTGACAATGATAGATCTAAATCTGAATCCGGCGAAGCATCTGATGAAGAAGATGTTGATATAAGAGGCAGTGGATATTTCAAGACCTTCTCAACACATCTCCCCACGAGTGTAACAAGTGTAGACCTAAGTAATAGTGGTATAGAGAGGATTACAGAGTGCATTAAAGGTCTTCATAATCTACGATACCTTATTCTTACAAAATGCAAAAGACTTGTGTCATTGCCAAAGCTCCCTTGTTTGTAAAAGGTCTAAGAGCACACGGTTGCAAATCACTAGAGAGAGTGAGTAGCCCCTTAAACACTCCACATGCAGAGCTCAATTTCACCAAATGCTTTAAATTGGGTCAACAAGCACGACAAGCGATTATTCAACAATCGTTGTTGACGGGTGGGCTTTCTTACCTGGAAGAGAAGTACCTGTAGAGTTTGACCACCGAGCCAGAGGAGATTCCGTTACAATTCCTCATTCTGGTTATAACAGATTTAAGGTTTGCCTCGTGATTTCACCTAACAAACATTTGTTATATTTAAGGCTATTGTATCGTTGCATATTCATCAGCAACTCAGTAAACTCTACTGACATGACGTTCGATCTATCCGATGGAGTATCCTGTGTCTGCAGACTTCGAACGAAACATCTTGATAGAGGGAGCGGAAGCAAGTTAAATAGAGATTAGAAGTGGAAGCTTAGAACAAAGGTTAGGTGGAAGGAGGCTCTGTTTTAGTGAAGTCAAAACAGAGTATGGTGAAGGTTGCAACGAAACAGAGATAAACGAGCTCAATGATGAATTGAGATCGAGAAACAAAAGGCGAGAGTCCTCCTCTCAGGGTTCGCACAAAGCAAACTCTTTAGGTTTTCAAATGAATTCTTAAAGCCAAAGATGATTTGATTACAGAGAAGACGATCTCTTTATATAGAGTCGTGAGATAAAAGCAAATAAAACTAATCCTAATCCTAAAAGATACTAAGAATATCCTATGATAACAAAACGTAAACGAAGTGATAATGTCTCGAAAACTAAGGAAATGATCTTGTTACAACTGAATATCTTGATGGGCACGAGATACGTTAACGAGGCCCAACAAGTAGTGAAGATGCGCTGCATCACATCTATTTATATTTCATGCTGACTTGCCATTTACCGATCCTTCTGAAGTGAACAGAAAGATAATGCTTCAATTCAGCTGTAGATTTCAAGATTTGGCCATTACTGAATGAGGAATCTGGCGATAAAGATGATCACAGGGTTACATATGATTCTGGAGACGCATCTGACAATAAAGAAAACCATGACGATATATCTAAATCTGTATCCGGCGAGGCATTTGACAAAGAAGATGATGAAGAAGGATACAAATCTAAATCTGGAGAAGCGTTCAAAGACAAAGATGACAGTATCATCGAAGATGGTGACTATGAATCCGAATCAAGCACGCATCCGAGGAAGACAACGATGACAAGTTCTACTAAAAATATGAAGAAATGGTTAATCTCTCTATTCCTAATTTCCTATTATGTCTCTTTAAATTGTTTTGTTTCTCCCTTTTGCTTTGGTTTTCATATGTCTAATGTGTGCTCTTTAGAAATTGGATAATTGCTTGGAATTAACATTAAATCCTTAGATAAACTTGAAATCATACATTCTTATCATTCTAAGGAAATACAAAAGCCAGCCACCAGAATACTTAGATCTAAGCTCTTTCTCCTCTAATCCTTCTCGCGAGTTGGATATCCTTAGGCATGATAGTAACTCTCTTAGCATGAATAGCACAAAGATTAGTGTCTTCAAAGAGTCCAACAAGGTAAGCTTCAGCAGCTTCCTGGAGAGCAGCAACAGCACTACTCTGGAAACGGAGATCGGTCTTGAAGTCTTGAGCAATCTCTCTCACAAGCCTCTGGAAAGGAAGTTTACGGATCAGAAGCTCAGTGCTCTTCTGATACTTCCTGATTTCTCTTAGTGCCACCGTTCCAGGTCTGAATCTGTGAGGCTTCTTCACTCCTCCGGTGGCTGGAGCAGATTTCCTCGCTGCTTTTGTTGCTAATTGCTTCCTTGGTGCTTTGCCTCCTGTTGATTTCCTAGCTGTCTGCTTGGTACGAGCCATTGGGATTAAGAAGAATTGTTTGATTAAGAAGAAAGTTGAGATTTGATTTGTGATTTTGATTTGGCTGAGGAAGGGGATATTTATAATCTGAAGCGGGAAAATGTTTTTCGCGTTTCTGTTTTAGCGGGATTGAATCTGAATCGTTTATTTTGTTTTTAATCGACGGATATAAGAGGTTTATGTGATGATCCGTGTGAAATTATAAGAGCCGTCGATAAGTTTAGATCTACGGATGGATTGCATTATTTTCTGCTACTGATCCGCGTGAAGGTGATTTGACCAATAGCAATTAAAGAATTAAAAGGCCAATATCCTGCAAAACCAAATCACACAATAATATATATGAATATAAATCGGAGGAGTTCACTAGTTCAGATCAGGAAGAATCTTTAATCGGGCCTAAGCGTTATTGGAGATGTTGAAGTGGATCAGCCCGGCCCAGTTAATTCGCGCTGTAATGGGCCGAAATAAAAATTTGATACATGATGTGCAAAATGTGTTTTGCGATTTAAGAAGAGGATTTAATTTTTTGTATTTTTAAACTAGGATTGACTGGCGGTAGACTGCAGATTGATTGATTTTTTTGTTTTTTTAATTTCCGTACTCGCTAAGAATTTTTTATCGCTTAACCGTTTTTTCTTAAATAATTATTCATTTGAGAATGTTTATTTTGATGACAAAAAAAAGAGAATGTTTATTTTAATCCAATAGATAAAGAAATAGAATGGATACCCATATTTCACGTTTAGATTTTACAAAATTTTTGATTACTCTTATTAAATTTACTATCATCTTAAATAAATATATAATGCTAATAAATGCTTGTTTTCAAAATAGAAAATATCCGCATTAAAAAGAATTTTGTAGTTGGTATGAATCAAGATTTTCTCCTTTTCATAAATTTGCTTTCATAAAAATTTTTAATTTTAAAGATTAATTTGTGAGATTTCTTGTTAGTATCATTTTTTGGAAAATTATTTTTAGTATAGTTGTATAGGTATAGTTAATGCATTAATTATGATAATACAAATGTCAAATTATTTTTATTTGAGCAGAGAAGATTTGTTAGCGACTGGGTTTTGATAATTCCTTTCGGGTGGATGCTGCAGGTCAAAGTGGGGGTTTATGGTTGTTGTGGAGATCAAATGTGGACAGTGTGGATATTGTGGCAGCAACGAGTCAGTTCATTCATGCAAGAGTGATGAATGGGGAAGAGTTAATGCATCTTGTAGTAGTTAATGCGGCACCAACAGTGAGTCATCGAAGCGGATTATGGAAGGAGTTGAAAAATGTAGTCCGGAGAATAGATGGTCCTTTGATTATAGGTGGAGACTTCAATACCATTCTTAGATTGGATGAGAGGACTGAGGGTAATGGGAGGCTTTCACCGGACTCATTGGATTTTGGTCAATGGATAAATGATTTGTCACTGATTGACTTGAGTTTTAAGGGAGGAAAGTTTACATGGAAGCGGGGAAGGACAGAAAACACGTTTGTGGCGAAGCGGTTGGACCGTATTCTCCGTTGTGAACATGTGAGACTGAAGTGGCAAGAAGCAGTGGTGTCTCGTCTCCCACTCTTGGCTTCTGATCATGTCCCACTCTATATCCAATTATATTGTGTCTAGAAAAAGATATGGATCCGAGGAGAAGACCGTTTCGGTTTAAGGCAGTTTGGTTGAAACACAAAGGCTTTAAAGAGTTGTTGAAGGCATCGTGGATATTGGGCTGTCAACCCCGAAAGCTCTAAATAGGCTAAGGGGAACTTTGAAGAAGTGGAATAAAGAGGTATATGGCGATATTAACAGAAAAAGGCAGTGTTGATGGCAGAAATAACAAAAGTTCAGAAGTTGTTGGATGCAGCCCAGTCCGACGCATTGTTAGCCAAGGAGGAAGAGCTGGTGAAAAGTTTTGACATATTGTTAGAACAAGAAGAAATGATATGGTTCCAAAAATCAAGAGAGAAGCTTATAGTTGTAGGAGACAGGAGACCGAAATACAACCTTCTTTCATACATCAACAATGATTAGAAGGAGGAGAAACAAGATTGAAATGTTGAAAGGCTCACATGATATGTGGGCCTAGGCAAAATACCCGGAACCGAATACCCGAACCGAAAAATCCGAAAAATACCCGAACCCGATTTTTAAAAATACCCGAATGGGTCCTAACCTCCTACCCGAAAAAAACCCGAACCGAACCCGAACCGAATCCAATACCCGAATATACCCGAATGTACCCGAATACAAATATACACCTAAAAATATTAGTTATATTTATATTTATAATACCCGAAATACCTAAAATTACAATCATAAATCCGAATATATTAGGTATTTTTGAGTAATTCGGATACATTTGGATATATTTGGTTAAAAAGTAACTAATGATGTAGTTTTCTTTTGGGTAATTTTAGTATTTTTAGATATTTTTGGTTATATTTGGGTAAAGAGTAACCAATGTATTTTCGAGAAATTGGATATTTCGGTTAGATTTGGGTATATATGAGTTAAAAACCCGAACCCGAAAATATTTCGGGTATTTTTGGTTAGTTTCGGGTATTTTGTTTTTTTTATTAAATACCCGAACCGACCCGAACCCGAACCGAACCCGAACCGAATTTTTAGAATACCCGAATGGGTCTTGACCCCCTACCCGAATAGACCCGATACCCGAAAAAAAAGAACCGAACCCGAACGGGTACCCGAATGCCCAGGCCTATATGTGGGTGTCGGGTAAAAAAGGAGCTGGAGAAGGTAGCCTTGGATTATTACAAGAGGTTGTATTCGCTAGATGATGTCAATGAGGAGAGGGCTGTAGGGGACTCAGTAACAAGATTTGTTCTAGGTTTCTTTTTTTGAATCGGGGGTGCTGCCGCAATCCACAAATGATGCCTTATTAGTGTTGATTGCGAAAGTGGCAACACCAGAGCGCATAACACAATTTAGACCAGTGAATCTTTGCAATGTGTTATTCAAAGTAATCACGAAGATGATGGTAATTCGGCTGAAAAGTGTGATTTCGAAGCTCATTGGGCCAGCCCAAGCAAGAGATTAATTTTCTAATATATCGTATCCCTATATGTATCTTGAAACCCTTTCTAATCATTTCTCAATCTCACTCAATTCACCCTATCTTACTTCCCTTCTATTACACACAAAGTACAAAATTGTCTATTTAGCAAATTTTGAGTAGTAATTAAAGTAAATTCTTTCTAATTATGTTTTAAAAACTTACTCTTTCAATTCACCCATAATATAATACTGACGTTTTTGTCTTGCTATTTAAGCAAATGACAAATCCCAATATCCTTGAAGTTCTCATTTCCTCTCTTCTAGCCCTATATACTCATTCAACGACCTTCAAAAATATCTGAAAAATCACGACAACTTGTCTTCTTAAGTTTTGACCAAGTTAAATTAACCAGCCATCCATGTAAAATAGAACTAGCTCAAAGTCAAACAGTCGCTTAGGTTACGCTAGATATATTATAGATCAGCCAACCTTAGGTATAGATAGGTGGTGGAGAAACCAGCCGTCTATATATGAACAATGTAGCCATTCATATGTATAGATAGGTGGTGGAGAAACCTGCCCTCAACTATTATTAGCTACTTTGCAAATTTAACAATTTTCTATTAGATTGCAGCATATGTTTCATTTGTGCATGGACTTAACAAGATGAAAAGACTTACCATTACATAATTATAAATAGAAGTTGGTTTTACGCTTATTATCTCACGTAAAGTAGCTAGTTATTAGTCATGGCTAAGCTTGCTACCATCATCATCACGGTTATATTCGATGCTCTTGTTCTCTTTGCTGCTTTTGGTGAGTAATGATCTTATCATATAGTACATGGCAAAATGAATTATTATTTTTTATTTTTTTAATAATTAGCCATGAAAGATAAATTAAAATATATATGTATGCAGAAGCACCAATAATGGTGGAAGCACAAAAGTTGTGCGAGAGGCTTAGTGGTACAACGTTGGGAGTCTGCGGAAACAGTAATGCGTGCAAGAATCGGTGCATTCTACTGGAGGGAGCACGACATGGTTCTTGCAACTTTATCTTCCCATATCACAGATGTGTCTGTTACTTCCCATGTTAATTTACCAAAAAACTTTCAAGGTCTTATCGTGCATGTATTTTACATATAATAAGTCTATGTCACTCCATGGGTGACTTTATGACATGTATGCTTGTGTTTCAATGTTTGGTTCTGTTAAAGTATAAACGTTTCTTAAGTGTTAGAACCGTTTGTTAGCATGTACAAACTAGAATAAGGATCTGATTTTTAAATATGCATATTAGTGTGAGTGTAATAATAAAAAAAAAGTATGTAACATCTGAGTTTACTTATATCTAACGTCACATGGACTAAGCCACACATATCGCTAATTTGAAACGTTGACACTACTATAACAATTTAAGTAGACTAATCAAGACGTTCTCAAACAAATCTATCGGCGATTGAGCAAGTTAATATCATGGCGAAATTAAAGATGGATTGGGCTGAGAGTGAGAAGACAAGAAGTAGATTGTGTTTGTAAAATGGGGAAACCTTAAAATTTTAAAAATCCTTTGAACATCATTTAAAAAAATAAAGAGACGAGAGAAGAAGGAAGAGTGGCCATCCAACCATCTTCATCAATGAAATTTTTGGGTTCAATAAGTAATTTAACATCTTTAGCAGAAAGATTCTTCTCCCATCCAACTCTTCCTTTCTTATTCGCTCCTTCCCCTGTGCAGTTTATCTCCGCATATGTAAATTTATGCCTGATTTGAATTATTTTGTAAGTCGGAATTATTGTTAAAATATGTAACAAATGCATATATTATAAGCAAAAGAGAATAAACATTACGTACACTTGGTCGTTATAATCCCAAGCATCCCATCCTCGAGGTACGACAACATTGGACATGTTGGTTCCATAGAAAACAACTCTAGAGTAGTTTCGGTAAGCTCTTCCTAAATATGCCTTACCATCTCCTTGAATCAAACAATTTTTGAACACAAATCCACTTTTGTCTTCCTCGCTTTCCCTCCCTTGTGCGGTTATGTATCCTTCTAACATTCCTCCTTCCTTCGTCATTTTCTTTGATGTCACTCCTTTAACGTATATCACACAATTCTGCATCCACACACAAATTCATTGAGATATATAAATTTCTTCAGTATGTATGATATGAAAAACATTGCGTAAAATAACGGGTTCTTCTTTGTAGTTTGGCCTTGGTAGGTTTTGCTTCTGTTTCAGGTTTAGGCATGAAACCGGCTCAACTCGGCCATTCCCTAATTTTTAGAATTTTATACGGCACAACCTTCAGGTCTATTGATTTTTATCATCTCCTATTCTTAACCATCATTTATGAGAGAAATGTGAGATTACTTGGTATATAGATTGGCCTCCTCCCCATATGAAATCGATGGCTCCTACGATGTAACAATTTATAAAGTAATGGCGGCCGAGTAAATCAGCGACTGTGTCTTGGACACTGATGAAGGTGCAGCCATAGAACCATGCCTTGTCCGCGGCTAATATAATTGATGGAGCTACCTTTATCGCTTTATATGGTATTATTGGTGTCATCCTTGTATTCGTATTCTGCACAACCATGCTGTCAGTTTCGCAATATTTATTGAACAAGATTTTATTTCATATCATATCCACATATGTAGAAATCAATCCGAATATTTTATATATCTCATCATCGAATGCAAATACCTAACTATTTAAATAGTGAAAACGTGATTTTTTTTTTGTTTCTATTGACTGCTCACGCTAAAATGTTACTTTTCCGTTTTGTATTAAGTGTTTTTTTAAAACTTAAATTTCATTTAAGAATATGTGTCGTTTTTGAAATTTTTTGGATAAAATTTTCAGTTTGATTACTACTACTTTAATGTATTAAACAATAAAGAAATTATATAGTATATTCTTAAAAGTAAAAATGAAATGTCATTATTTTTAATATGTGTGAAAAAATCTTAACACATTTATTATAAAAATAGAGAGTGGATTATTGTAGATTAATAAATTTCTATGTTAATTATAGTTTAATACATGCATTGTATATGGTTGGAATTACTATTTAAAAATTTAATAAATGTTGTAAGTAATAAATACTAAATGTTTTAATTATGCCATAAATACAGCTACATTTTTTTTTGATAAGAACACGTACTTTCATCATCTAGAGATAAATATTGTTTTATTTGTAAAAGTTGATCTTGTGAGAATGATTGATAGAACTAGCCATATTAAATTATTAATAGTCAACTACTGTTCATATATATAATTTTTGGTTTAAGTAAACTACTTATATAAACTCTAACCTTGAAAGTAATGTTGATAGCGACGAAGTATTCGGCGTCTACTCTTATAGGACCACTCGTATTGGCTAGTCCTGCATCATTATATTGAATTATCACTTTTGATGCATTGTTTCCTTGCATTATTATCTTTTGTTTCTCCTTCGGAATTACTATCTTTTCGCTGCATTAATATACATACTTTAGTAAACCCAAAAATAAAAAAGAAGTCAATTGCTTGATTCTTCTTAAATGTAGATGAGAGAGCTTACTTGTAGGTTCCATGTTTAAGATAAATCTTAATCCAATTTTTGTTACTAGAAGGAATAGAGTCCATGGCTGCTTGGATGGTTTTGAAATCACCTTTACCATTATGACTAACCACCAATGTCTTTGCTATATCTTTGTAGAAATCTTTCGGTTCCAAACCATAAGAAGATACAAGTGATGTCGTAGCCGTAAAATACATAAATGAGAGAGCCAAAATAGTTTTAAGAGATTTCATTGGTTAAAAGAAAAAGATTTTAACCCTTTTTAAGCACCAAAAAAAAAACAGGTAGAAGTTTCAACTTGGTTTATTAAAAAAAAAACTTTCATCTTGATTTGTTTTTTCTTTCTCTATTGTTGATTTTGGATGTTTATATATAAATTCTCCCTATTGCTCATTGGCATGGCAATGGTATTTTAACAACTTCAAAATATAAACATTTTCTTACATGATTCCAAGTATGGTTAAAGATCCACTGATTGAATTTATTAACCAAAAGAGAGTATATATTACCCAATAATTTAGTGTACACTAATTAAAAAATAAAATTTTGAAATTAATTACATAGCAGCAATAAATAAAAATAATTATATCCATTGAAATTGATTCATTAAAAAAAATCTAATTAAAATTTAATGTTAAGTAAATATATTGAAAAGAATTGTGCATATATTAATTTTTATAAGAATTTTCTAAACTACACAGTAAATAAGTTTGTAATCATATAACATGCTGATTAAGTTTGTACATTTCCTTACCTAATTCCAAGTATGGTTAAAGATCCACTGATTTCATTTCTTAACCAAAAGCAAGTGATTTCTGATTTGATTTTGCTATCATGGTCTAGATCTTTTGAAATTGATAACATGCCAGAGAATTGTCGGAAATAACCATGATGAACTGCTGTGACTTCCAAATCAAAACAAATTATGATTTGTTTCCTAAGTGAGTTATATGATAAAAAAACAATTCTTAGACTCCTTTCTAACATGACCTAAAATGTTTTTACTAGGGGAAATGAGTTTAAGAAGATATGACTTTTTTTTCACTGGTCAACGGTGGTTAATGTCGTTGACCAACTTTTCGAGAGACACATGGCTTTCCCGATCTCTTTTCAATCCTAGATTATAAATTCAGTTTGGTGGTATTAATCTAGAAAGTAGAATAAATCGAAGGGGTCAAATTTTGTTAAGTAAACAGGAAAAGTCAAATCGTTGACTTTGAAACCATTTTGAATAAAGTGTTAATTTGGGAAAAGAGGGTGTTATTGAACCTAACTTCTGTTTTTTTTTGTTTAGTTAGGTTAATTGTTAAAAGGATTTCTCAATTATTGAGTTGATTTTAGGAAATGGTAAGTAAGCAGGGCAAATGAAGGTTTTAGTTAGACATGCTTAGTCTAATTGTAGAAAAATTGGAAAATGTTACTAAAATGATGAGGTCTGGGCCCAAAAGTTTATTTTAATTTAGTTTATGTTTTCATGTTTATATTTTTTTTGTGTGGTTACTATCGAGTTTCTCCTTTTTTTTGTTTTGTTTTCTTTTCCATTATATTTTTTGTATGGTTATAATCTAGTTATGTAGTTAAATTTTTTTATTTTAAAAAGAAAAAATAACCAACTTTGCAGATTTGCAGATTTGGGGACAATAAGGAGGTTGCAGATTTGCTCAACGGCAATACACTCAACTTTGGAATGTTCAACTGGATCAGGGAAGCTCGTACTTGGAAGTCAAGATTCATGGATTGCCAATTCCTTTGGTGTCATCGCCTCAGTAATGCTCCAGCAGATCTTTTGGCAAAACATCAAATTCCTTTAAATTCTAGTTTTCACTTTCACAGTTTGGTTCCCTATGTAATAACAAACGCGCTTCATAGCGATTTCTCAAACCATATAATATAATCATTCATTTTGATGAAAAAAAAAAAAAAAAAAAAATAACCAATATGAGAAACACGTGATTTAATATAATTTAGTTACGTAATTAAATTATAATTTAGTTATTTCAATTTCTTTCGGGTGTTTTTTTTTTTGCTTTAGCTTATAGATTGATTCCATGTGGGTGTTTGGTTAGGGTAATTCTTGAGTCGTGATGACTACTAGGATCGTTGTACTATTTTTATAGTTTTAATTGCAGTGCTCTTTGTTTATGTTCTACAAAACTGAGATCAATTTTGGTTAAATGTAGAGTTTTATGGATGTGCTTATGAACTCTTCGATGAAATGAATGAGATGAGCTGACATTAGGGTGGCTTTTATTCAGTGGTATCATATTTAAAACTATTAAGCTGTTTTGAATGCAGAGAAAGAAAGTATGTGTGTTAACATAGTCAAAATTGGTAGTATTGTCTTTGCTGCTTAATTTTTATTCGATCTTTCTTTTTACCCTTTTGGCTTTAAATGTAATGAACTTCTAGCCATTATGGTTTGTCTATTGTTTGCAGCTTGATGAGAGGCTTAAGAGGCGAGAGAAACTCAAATCGACAAAGCAAATATTCAATTTCTTCTGAACGATGCCTGCATAGTCGACTTCAGGATAGGTCTATCTTGGAGGAACGAATAACCACACGATAGATGCAACCATCAAGTGTCCGCAACTTTCCTGCTGACTAATACTCCCTAACTATCTTGGTTGTGATTTATTAATTTTAAAGGATTTTGGTATATTTTCATTAATTTATAAATTGGATTTACTTCAGAATGAAGACTACACCTGTGATTTGGCAAAATGAGTGGTTCTCTTAAGCCACACCAAAATTTTCATAATAGACTTTCCACGGGGGACATATCGGAGGAGAATTTACGAGTCAATACCTCCTGCGTTTTTTGTGGAGGACTGATTGAGGCAAAAAACCACATCTTCTTTCGATGTCCCTTTACTCAACAAGTTTGGGAGAAACTCACCAAATGTCTACTAAAGAACCACTACACTTCGGAATGCTTCGGAATGAGCATAACTTTGAACACTCATCTCAGGTACGACGCTTGTTCAACAATCCCTTCTTCTCCTGAGGTATGCTCTTCAAGTTGCAGTTCATTCGATACGGAGAGAAATGAATAACAATAGACACGGAGAAAGCCCTTCACCAGCAGCTCATCTTCAAAAGCTTATCGATAAAACTATCAGAAACTACCTAAGCAATATTCGAAACTTAGGGAATGAAAAATATTAGGACCTCATCTTATGGTTCTCTTCTCGAATATAAAGTGTGAATAAAAAAAACCACTCCATTTCTTTTGAGCTAAGTCACACTTGTAGTAAAAAAATATTTATCAATGAATAAATTTTCCTATCATTCAAAAAAAAAAAAAACAAAAACAAAAATAAAGATTGAACAATATGAAAGCATAATCAACATTGCGTCAATGTTTGGGAATATAACATGAGGTCAACTGTCTTGTTGAAGAAAAAGAGACCATCGATTTGGGCTCTCCAATTTGTACAAAGTTTTAGAGTTCATTTTCATTTTATGAAGTTAACTGGTGTGAATTATTAAAAAAAACATTGAAATAAGAGATATTTTTAAAAGATGGTACAAGGTAAGCATCAAAACCAAATCAGATAAATGTTTTTGGTGTTTTCTTATTCAATAGTTTTTAATATTTTTTTTATCTTATAGTCTGTTTTAAAATTCTTAGGCATACATGTTTTCTTTTGACTATAACATATGGTTTCAATTTAGTGAAGGATATAGAAGAACGAAAAAGTTTCTATCTCATATTGCATAATGTTGTGATATTGCCTAGAGACAACTATTGTCAAGAGATTTCGAGATTTCGGGATTATGATGCAATCTTTGATATTTAATTAGTTTTCAAGAAACATGATTCTATAAGGGTAATAATCTCTCTCTTTATTTCTTTTTTTTTAAGGATAATAATCTTAGTTCGATTGTTGATGTTGTACGGGATTTTAGGATATGATGTAGTCACAAATTAAATCAAAGTTCACAAATCCAACGTTGTAGGAAACAAAATGAACACTATTCGTCTCAATTGTTAGTATTCAAGAAGAATATAACCATGCACTTAATAATGCTTACTACACTTGATCTCTACCCTTAAACAAAAGTTTTGATAACGTTTATGTTGTTTTAATGATAAGTCCTAAAATGATTTTTTGGACAATGGTTTGAAAAAATTCTTAAATTTAGGTGAATAAAATAATCAATTGTAATTATATAAGGACAAAAATTCTTTAAATCTTGAAATGAATATGCATTAGAATAAAACAAACCAATAAAATAAAAGAAATTGTAAAAATATTCCTGCAGTATAGCGCATGTTTTTATCTAGTAACATTAAAAAATGACAATACAAATTTTAGTCTTGTGGAGATATAGAAGTGTTTATAGTTAATGAAGAAGATATGAAGTGTTTGAGCATGGAAAGAGTGTTTAAATAGATGTGTGATTTAATCTCATTATTGATTTTTAACTAATTAATCAGGTATTTCAAATTATTATTCAAAATATTAATAATGAATTAAATGTTTTAAATTTGTATTTATATTGTAGGTCAAAAGCATGTCAATGGGTTTAACTCGTGGAATGATTTTATATAATAAATAAGGGTTTCCTTCAAAACTGTCTTTACAAACACTTGACATGTGGCACAAGAACATGGTTAGAGAGCTTATAGACCAGAGATGGTGAGCGAGAGATGTATAAAAAGACGAAGATGAGAGAGACAAGGTCTGATTCACTAATGTACTACCCTTGTCTAAAATATGAAGTTTTATTTACATCGATTTTTATTTAATTTTTGGCGTCCCATGTGAGCATTGAAATCAGATTATACAATATAAACGCTCTTTGTTTTGCTGTTTATTTTTAAAACTAATTAGTAGCTTAGCTGTATTAAAATGATACAAACGTTATATCACCAAATATTAACCTATGTCAATGATCAAAGTTAGAAGGTAATTCTGTTTTATCACCATGTTTTCTGTCCGTAAATTGAACATATTTTTTAGAAAATTAAAAAAACCGTAATTCATGTGCTTGTCAGGAAAAAATGCTTTGGGTAAAAACATCGTTGCTGTGATATTAAGTATTGGCTGGTTCTTTATATCGTGTGCGTGCATTACGATATTTATCACATTGCCTAAATCCAGTTTTAAATGTCCCTACCTCGTTTTACGCTTATTTGTTTCTTATTTAATAACCTCCTTATCTTACATATATCATATTGAAGTTATAATCTATGGTTGCCGAAGTTCCTTATTTATTAAATCATAAATATAATAATAAACGAATAATA